CTTTTTTGTTTAGTGTATTAAAATGTGTAAAAGTTTGTTGATAGTGTGTTTGGATGATAAATTTAAATGGAGTAATTCATTTATTTGAAGAATTTCAAATTTTTTGAGGTAAAATATTTTGTTTGGATGAGAAATTTATAAGGAATTTGAAATTTAAGTATTTGTGAAATTCCTTGAAATAGTAAAATTTCAAATTCTCCTAGAAGAGTAAAAATTTAAAATTCCTCATATTTTCTTCTTCTTATTTTACTTATATATTTTATCTTATATCTTATTTTTTCATGTTTTTAATTATTGAATATTCAAAAATATTTTTAAAATTAATTTTAACATGGTGGAATCAAATTATCATATCTAACCTAACAATTTTAAAATTTGAGAAATTTAAATTGACTTATCCAAACAAAATATTTTAAGAATGATAGAAATTAAAATCAAAATAATTCAAATACCAAGAATTTAAAATTCTTTGAATTTGTAAAATTTCTCGTCCAAACACACCACCATGAATGAAATTTAAATGATAAACTAAACAAACATTAAGTTTACTGTCTGTTCGTCCTTGTCACGTGAGCAATTACCACATATCTGTCCAAACGGTCTTAAATAGGTTGCGAGTTTTCCAAGAGGACAGCATATAATGACATTGATCATCTTCGCCAATATTTATAAACAATCATCAAGAGGCGTCCTTCACTCTGCAACCATCCATCAATGAATTCACGGGGGACTCCCATACTTTCCTTCAACGTCTACTAGCGCACAACATCAATTATAACCACTTCTATTATATTTCTGTTTTCTACTTCCTTTATTTATTTTTTATATATCACTGGTGTTTAAATTTTCCAAATATACATATTATTTGCCTAATAAAAAAACTTTTTATTAGGAGCCAAAACTACCAAGCGTTAATCATTATTATTATATCAAACGATACTCTCTTCTTCTATACTAATAATATTTACTTCAATTTTGTTCTTTTCTTTAAGGGGAGTGGAAATTACAATTTAGTAGGTTATTGTAATGTTGACTATGTCGAAGATCGCATTAAACTGAAAAGTATTACCGGAGTTTGTCACTTTATTGGACAAAACTTAGTCTCTTGGATGAACAAAAATCTAGGGTCGATTGCACTTTTAACATGTGAAGTTGAATACATTTCAGGAGCGTCTTGTTGCTTACCGTAGTTATGGATCAAACATCAACTTGAAGATTGCAATAGTTACAAGAGTAATATTCCTATATTTTGTTATAATACTGTAGCTGTAAGTTTTTCTAAAAATCCCATAATGCATTTCAAGGTTAAATATAATGAAATTAAATATCATTTTATAAGGAGTTTCAAGGTGTGTTAGAGAGAAAAATACACATTAAAAGAGGGGTTGATTACAAAAAAATTTGGGGCTAGGACACCATCATCTCATCCTTGATGGATCTTGATGCCCAAGGAGAGCTAGTATATACCAAGCTCACCAAGGTGGTAAAGACTTTTTAACATAAGGCCAAGTCTAAGGATAGTGTCTTTAACTATCACAAATTGGCCTTATTTCACCTTATTACTAGCAAGCCATTCAACTTGTCAAACCTGATTATATAGTACTAGTGCCACTCCATGAAGAACCAATGAGAGTCCATTATCGATATGGCTCTTCTAAACAAGATTATGTGGGACCAAAAGATATACCAAGCCTTTTTGGAACTTGAAGCCACAAGAGCAGAATGCCATCATGGACTAGGGTGACATCAAATTTTGTAGATGGACTTTGGCATGAACAACATTAAGAGGATGAGTTTCGCATTCACTCTTATGGAAAACCCTAGTAAGGAGGTACTCTAAGAAGGAGGTACTCTAGGAAGGAGTTGAGAAGGCCCAAGAACAAGCTTTTGTTGCTATTATTGAGGTAGAAGCATAAGCACAAGCACTTGTGTCCGCTAGGAAAACACATGTAAGGAAACATGTCAAGAAGGAGCCATCACTTAACCAAATGGTTTCATAAAAGTCAATACAAATCCTCATCCAAAATACCCCATCCACATAGGGAAACAAAAGAAACCAAAGCTCTATGTCATCGAAACCACTGTTAGCATCCTCTACGATTTGTATGAGGTTATGTGCCCTAGACACTATACCCTACAAAATCCCATGCATCATTGCCTAAACTACTACAAGCAAGTATGTTCATGGATTCCTGTAAGGAAGTCGGTTTAGGACCAAGATGGATAGTTCTTCATTAATGCCAAGGGTAGGCCGATATTACATAATTAATGTATTGGTGAGCAACCATTCAACCTAAGATCCAAGATATTTCTATAAGGGCCCTAACCTTTCCTTTAGGGAGCGTCCTAGTAGAAAAGATGGGTTAACCAAGAAATGGGTGAATTGGTTATTAAAATTTCCTTTTTGAATCTTTTTGGTTTTGAAAAAAACTTTTCTAAAACTTTCCAAAGAAGTATATTGATATATAGTTGTGTATGATGTTGAGATTACATGTAAATTGAATTAGTCTTATATGCAATGTTCATGTTTCATATCATATAACATTAAACATATAATCGGATTGTAAGAATGTAAAGATAAGTGTAGGGATAGAGAAAAATACACAACAATATTATATTGGTTCAGCCACATCCACTTGTGATCTACATCTAGTTTTCAATCAACCTGATTGAGATTTTTTATTAATCTTTAATGTCAAATGCTTTACAATCACAATACCACATGCAATACACTTCTACATAATTAAAGAAACCACTTCTTGCACTCCAAGAAACACTAACTTGTAACACCCCACTACAAGATTTCCTTTTCCTAAGAAACCTACTTAAGAAAACAAGTCACAGATTAAAGAACGAATTCACCTAATGTAAGAAACACTAACTTGTAACAAAAGGAGGTGAATCAAACCAATGTAGCATAACCTATAACTCCATGAAGATGACGATCAACTCAATTCTTAAATCCTTTGTTGAGGTCAACAAAAGGTGTCAAACCTCTTTTTTCAAAGAAATTTTTTTTTAGAGAGTATTTTTGAAAGTAACATCACAAATATTCAAGTACTTTATGTTCTAAATGTGAAAAATGATATATAAAGTTTAATAAGAGAAATAATCAATTATTTACATGAATAATCAATTATTGTGTTCTTCGCAGATCTTTAAATCAACCAAGAATATTTTTATTGATTATTTTGGGGGAAAATCAATTATTCTAGAAATTAACTTGTTTGTGAAATATTTGATTATTTTGTAGAATAAATGATTATTACAACAAGGCTGCTCAGATTATTGAAACACATAGAAAATGATCGATTGTTACTTAAGATAATTGATTATAATGAAAACTTAATATCTTGATTTTTCATACCATTTCCCTTTTCAACTCATTTTGTAAACTTCTTTTAATCATCAAACATCATCTAGATAAAGATATAAGAGTAAGTTACCCATAAAACACACAAGCAACAAGGCTTAAATACATAACAAGATACAATTTGCAATCTTTTCTTTTAAGAGGCTTATATTTGTATTCATTAAAACTAAATATACTATGTCTTTATCTTGAGAATAATCAACACATCCCTATGTTCAAGTCCTCAACGTTAGGCTTAAAATTCATTGTATTTTTCTATCAAGACTTTATTGCCTCATCTTTGCTTCTAGTGGATCAAGCAACGTCTAATCACCATCACCATTAGTAGAAGAGTCAATTATGATATTCAAGACATATCTATCTTATTAAAAGTCATGGCCTTGGGTTGGGAGGAAACACGACAAATGATTCTTGTTTTGTTTCATGAGGATCTTCATAGAATTTGGTCTATTCTTTTACTTGTATCACCTTGGTGCACCAACTACCTTTTACCAGTGTATAAGTATGAGGAGGTTCCACTAAGGGTGACACCTTATGTTGAAAACTTCTCATTGACCACCTCAGAGGAAAACAAGGCCTTGCCTTTTGAGATTATCATAGTATTTCTAACAGGTGCTTTAGGAGGAATAAGTGCCTTGTGCTAGTTATCAAAGATCGATTCCAGTAGAAGTCACTAGTAGGGACTTTTCATCTCATACTACCTCTATTGGAGTTCAAGGATCTTTCTTTGGATTATCCTTAATCCAACATTCACTACATAATAGGGGATCCAATGGAGAGAATCAAAGGTAAGGCTAAAGTGAGCTTAATAGACCCTCAAGTAAAGGATGTGAAATTTAGAGAAGGTTTGTCACATCTTGTTCCTTTGCCACCCCTCAAATCATGTCTTTGTGCATTTGGCTCAAGCTTATATGCCAGATTCGTCTTTGCCTTTTCATCAAGAGCCAACGCAACTTCCCTCCCTCCCTATATACAAATGATATGACTTGGATAGGCATTCAACAACATTACATATACTCCAAGCCTCATTTCTTAGATCTAAACAAGAGAAAGGATGAAAAAACCATCATCAACATCCAAGGTGGAGATTAGAAGCTACCCAAGGATATTCCTTGAGGTATATAGGTTGAAGATTCATGGAAGGGAGTACGTTGAGTTTGTTGCTGAGAAGTTCTATCAATACTTGTTCTAATGATCAAAGCTTACATTGTCAAATGGACTCACTTGGAAGGAGAAGAAGACAATCTCTAATTGGTTCAACAAGTTAACGTAGCATTCAATACATGTTATCAATTTTAATTACATATCCACAACTTTTATCTACAAGAACTTGTGCCCAATCTTGGGATAGGAGACAAACATCTTGTACATAATCATTGTGTTCCTCTATGATCTATTTGATAAGGGATTTGGTTGGTAGATTGAGCTTGCCAAGATACCCAAGCCATTAATCCCATATTGGTTCTTAACACCAATGGAGTACGTAGACAAATATGGTCTCCATCCTCATCCAACTCTAATAAACAAGCCCATGATTGAAGCGCTTTCACCGCCTCTAGTGCTCATGATTGAAGCCCATCCTCTGTCTTTGCCATTTGATACTATCATTGTTGCATCTTTTTCCTAGGTTCCCAAGCTAGTTGAACATGCTCTTAATGTTACCCTAACCACACCAACAATTAAGGCTCCACCTATATCAGTTGTTGAGTCCGCGCTTGAGTTTGTCACATCTGCTCAGGTTGATGAGATCGTAGAATCGAAGTTAGAAGTCTTTGGAGCCAAAATGAACACCAACATTGATCAACTTTTTGCCATGCTTCAACAACTCACCAAAATAGACTAACCTACCTAGATAATGATTGCTTACTCGTTTTTTTATCATGAAAAAAAAGGGAGAAGAAGACAATCTTTGAAACTTTTCTTTCATTTATATAAATATGTATATGTTTTACTCTAATACATTTTTTTTGAATATATATGATGATTTGATTCTTTATAACTCTAATACAACATGATATTTTATTTAAATGCTCTGATATATCAAGCTATGTTTACTCTTATTTGTTTCGTAATATATACTGTGATAAGCTAGAATCATAATGTATGATGCATAGACTTAAAGGGAGGAGTAAACTCTATTATGTGTTGTTCAACTCTTATGCTCACTCTCTTAAAATATATTTGATATGCTATATATGAGACAAACATCTTTACATATTTATCTCTAATTCAAATGAAAAAAATGTTTTGTTATTTTAATGAATGAAGTCAAAAGTTTGTCATCATCAAAAAAAGGAAAATTGTTGCACCAAAGACATTTATGTATGCCTAACACCCTAGTTTTAATGATAACAAGGAGAAGAATGGAGCATCAATGTCACATTTGAAGTAACCTTCAAGACAGGGAACCAATTGGTGTTGTATCTAAGGTGTGGAGTGTGGGCAATAATTTTGGGTGAGTTTTGCCTTTTTCCATTCGTCACATTTTAAGGATGTCTTCGGCTGCATGAGCAGTGTTCCTCGATACAAAAGGTTTGTCATACCCGGGAGAGTAGCTTTCCTATATCCACATAATAGTCATGAATTGCATATTTATTTATAACACTAATATTTTAGTATGTGTATTTCATCGACATTGTTAGAAAATTTTACATTGGGCAACACTCCATAAGTGTATAGTAAGTAAATTATATAAGTGAGTTTATGTGGATATACTATGCACCCCATATTGGCCTTAGTAAGAAGATGAACATATTTGAAAGCACTCTAATAGTAGGGTCTTTAATTTCCATGAGGCTTATCATTTTCTTCAAACTAGGCTATAGCAACAACCTTGGGCCTCAGTGATATGGTTGATAGCTATTCCTCCCTCTACGGCCTATTTGGTTTGGTGTTTGTTACATAGTAAAGTTTCCACTAATGACAATTTGCAGCTAAGAGGTATGATAGTGGTTTTTATGTGCAACGTATGTGATTGCTCTAATGAGACTTTAGATCATTTGTTTCTCCACTGTGCATTTGCTATTTCAATATAGTCTTGGTTGCAACATATTGTTAATCATCCATTAGATTGTTCTTTGGTTGTATCTATGATGATGTCCTTAAATAAAACATGGTATGAGCAGGTTAAAGATGTTTTATCTTATACTTTTGTGCAGTGACATGAGCAATATTTTGGCACTATAGAAATCAAGTTCGTTTTAATAATATAGTTATTTCTGTTGAGAAGGCTATTTTGTTGATACAATTAGATATTTTTGTTATCAATCGGGTACTTTGATAAATAGTTGTATTTCTCATTCTCGAGCCGATGTTCATTTGCTTAAGCAGTTTTCCTACATTATTCATCCCTCTAAGCCTCCAAGGATCATATAGGTTGATTGACATCCTCTAGTTTGTGGATTTGTCAAATGTAACACAGATGGGATAGTTGTTGGTTGTCCGGGTCATGTAGTAGGTGCTGGAATATTTAGAAATGATATAAGGGAAGTTTTCGGACAGATTTTCTACCTATATTGATATCAAGGCTGCATTTTATGCTGAAGTAGTGGTGACCATAATTGTAATTGAAACAACTTATGATAGGGGTGATTTAATTTATGGTTTGAAAGTTATTCTAAACTTGTGTTTCTTGTTCTATATAATGCCAAAATTGTTCCTTGGGAATTTAGAGGGAGATGGATTAGATGTCTTCACTTATTGACACCTATGTGATTCTTTTCTTTACACAAAGAAGGAAGTTAATGTGTTGATCGGATGGCGAGTCTTGACTTTACTATTAGGGTTGATTTTGTATGGTGAGATATTCTTCGTGTTTGTTCTAGGGATGCTTTTTAAGGAATCGTCATAATTTATCTTCCTTTCATTTTTGTTAATTTCTCTTGTGGAATTTGGTCTAGTCCCCCATTTTTGTCTTTTATATTTTCTAATTATATTTTATTGAGTATGTTGCAAATGATTGATAGTCTTTGAGGTGTCTATTGTTGGGATGTCTTAGACCTATAGTGATGTCTTTGCATGACTTATTTTTATTTAAAAAAGTTTGACACCACATCATAACTCAAAACCTTAAGGCATTAGGTTGGTGAAATTTTTTTATTTATATATTATTCCATATGTCCAACACTAACCAATGTAAAACCTTCTTCACACTTACTTTAACTTACTTTTAAAATTTAGGCTTAATTACATTTTTGATCGCTCAAGTATTGAAATTGTGCAGTTTTGATTCCCAAGATTTTAATTGGGTAATTTTAGTCCCTAAAGAATTGCAATTGTGCGATTTTGGTCCTTCAATTTTTAATTGAACAATTTTAGTCCTCGAATATCATAATAGTGCGATTTTAGTCTCTTCTATTAAAAATTTAATAATTTTAATATATATATA